GATGTAACTATAAAAGTAGCGAAAAGATAAAATTATTTTGGCTTCAAGAAAGTTGCATATTATTGATCAAATGTTGCTTCTCCAATCTTTGGAATAAGATATGATCTCTTTGATAAAGCATTTGATAGTCCTTATTACTTCCTTGATTAATATGTAATCATAAAATCAAAATAAAATAATGACATATTTCAATAAATTTGGTGGCAATTGAAAATCCAAGTTAATATGAAATACTCTAAGTTTTTGTGATTTATATACAATCACAAGATGTATAGCATCTTTTAATAAGTGATGTCGTTTTTAGAAAGAATACACAATCATAAAAAGCTCTTTATTGTGAATCTCATAATTGGAACTCTATAGCTGAAATTATTTTAGAATAGAATGCAATTAGGTAGAACTTTCTATCATTTTTCATATATGATAGTATAAATTTTAATACAAAATCAAAAACATCAATTTTCAAATAAAAATCTTTTATAAAATCTAAATGAATTAAAATTAGAGTTGTAATAAAAGCTTCTTTTAAATCTTGAAAATCCTTTGGACTTTAAGTCTCCATTCCTATTTGTCTTTAGATATCAATCAAGTGAAAGAAATAGCAACTTAGAAGTAATTCTTGATAAACATCCAATAGAAATTTACAAATCAAAGAAAATATTGTACATCCCATAGTGTCTTTGAAGTTGCTTAGTCTATTATCGCTTGAATTTTCTTTAGATCCATCAATAAGCCTTTATTAAATATAATATATTTAAAATTTCTAATTTTAGCTAAAAGAATATTTATTTTTTAAATTTGGCATATAATCTTGCATCTTGTAACTTTTGTAAGACTAATTTCACATATTCTTTATATTCTTTAAGAATCTTAGAATATATTAAGATATCATCAAGATAATAGATAATAAATTTGTCTAAAAATTCTTTTAAAATATCATTCATCAGATTTTAGAATATAATTAAAATATTTATTAATCCAAAAGACATGACATTATATTCAAATTATTTGTGCCTTTTCTAAAATATTATCTTCCATTCATCTCCTTCTTTAATCCATACCAAATTGTATATTTTGCAAAGATCTATTTTGGTATAGATCTTGGCTTGATTGAGTTGCTTCAAAAGCCTTGATATCAATTGTAATAGATAATAAATTTTTATCTTTATTTTATTGAGGCCACAATAATCAACATACATTCACAAAGATCTATTTTTTTTTCTTCACAAAAATTATAGGTGTATTTTTTAAATATTTAAAATATCAAATAAAATTCTTTATAAGATTTATGCTGATATAATCTTTCAATGCCAAAAGCTTATTTTGTGATAGATTGTAGATTGAGCCAAATGGTAGTTGAGCTTTTTCATGAAGATTGATGGTACAATCATACAATCAATGATTTGGAAATATGCCATCATTTTTTTTTAAATATCTTAAAATTTTTTATACTACTTTAAAATAGCTACTATCAAACTTACTTCTTTATAAGTTGGCATTGCATAAATAAAAAATAGCATTTTTTTCTTAATCATCTTTATAAAAGTCTTTGTTTTAAGAAATAAAGACTTTATATTTGATGACTTTTTGATAGGTTTTATCCAATAGAATTTTATAGATAATTCAATCTTATGAATTTCTAATCTATAAATAGATTCTATATTTTCAAATATAAAAGTCCTAAAATAAAAAATTTGGATGGAATTTTAATAATATTTAATATTACTTTACTACTATGGCCTTCAAATGATATTTCTAATGGTATGGTTTTATGAAAAATATTGCCAACAGATAAAGATCGACCATCTTTTATTTCTATATATATATAAATTTTGACTTCTATATTAGAAGAATTTTATGAATTTTGATAATCTCTTCATCTAAAAATTAAGCATATGCTCTTAAATATAATAAAGAATTTATTTGAAGTTTTTGTGGACCAATAATATTTTATTATATTTTAAAAATAAAAACATAATAAGATAATAATACATTGTACAAAAAAAGAAAGACCTTGATGAACTTGAGGTGTTGGAATGTCTAGGCACACAATCTCTATTGTAATAGGACTTCTATGTTTTTTTGAATAATCACAATCTTAATCCTAGTTGTACTTTGTTTCTTTAGATAGTTTTCAAATTTGTGGCTTCTTTCACCACAATACAAGCATAGACCTTCTTTAAAGCAATTCTTATTTTTTTCTCATATAAGAGGTTTAAATTATACTACATCAATTTGCATATCCTTAGCTCCAAAATGTAGAAGCAATTTGTTTCTTGAAACAATAGAATATAAATTTTTAGTGAGTTATTTTTTCAAAGTCCACAAACATTAATCTTGATGACATTAAAATAATTAATTATTATTCTTCAAAGCTTCATTGATGGCTTTGTTGAATATTTGAGGATCAAATAATGATAATATTAGGTCTTTTATATCATGCCTTAATTCTCAATAGAATTGGTTCATAAGAGTTTGTTCATCCCAATTGATGTCTTAAGTCAATTATCTAAAATCAAATGCATAAATTGATGCAAAGTATGATATTTGGTATAATTAATAAATCTTTGTTATTACCTATTAGATCTTGTTATGTATTCCGAATACATCCACAAATGCTTCTAAAAAAAGCTTCAAAGTTGATCAAGGTTAAAAATTTCTTCTCAAATAAAGAAACAAATCAAAATAAGACTTATTTTGTAAGCAAGGTTCTAACTAAATCAACTTGAAATTCTTTTATTGGATAGCACTCAAGTTGTAAAAAAGTTATCAATGAAATTTAGTTAACAAATCCTTGAAACTTAGAGCGTATGCCATCAAAATTTTCTAAAAGACTAAATTGAGGCTCTTTATATTAATGAATAGGTGAGATTTTTTAAAGAAGTGTAGGTGCCACTACCTCCTTGGATATAGAAACTTAAGGAAGTGGATGCATCACTGGCTGAATTGGTTTAAATCTTACATCATCATGAAATTGTATAAAAAATTCCTCAATTTTAACAATTTTAGAAGATAAAGCATTCAACGTGTTCATAATAGCATCTAATTTGGACTTAACAAATTCAACCATATTAATATCTTCACCTCTAGCCATCTTGTAAGAGAAAAAAGAAATATATATATGTATATATATATAAATATATATATATAAATGAATTTAACAGAGGATAATTTAAAAACTTCTAAAGTACTTAGATGCCTACAAAAAGAGAAATAATCCTCTTTCTATCTAAAAATATTAAGCTTTAGTATTGATAAGAACTTTATCTTGATAAATTATGATAAAAATATTATATAGAAGTCCAATCAAGAAGTTGAATAAAAGAGTTTCAATAAGAAAGCTAGCACAAACTTGATTAAATTAGATAAACATAAGATTAATACTAAGAGAGGTGAGCTAGAGCTTCAAGAAACATATACTTGAGACTGAGGATCTCCTTAGTCTTGACTCCAATATATATATATATATATATATATATATTAAGAAGCTTTTCAAGAAATTTTTGTGTTGATTAGAAACAAAGCAACTCTAGGATCTTTTTAAGATAATTTCTTTAATCTTCTAAGAATTTTTAAAAATCTACTAAAATATTCTTAAAATATTCTTAAAATCTTTTTTTAGATATCAATAATAGATATAATTTTAAATAAAGTAATACTTATTGCATAAGAATAATACTATCATAATTGATATTATTAATATATAAAATTTTAGCCTTAAGTATATTAATAAGCTTGTAAATTTTTACAACAGTTGCAAAATTATTCTCATTTTTACTAAGTATATCATCCAAAAGTTATTTTTTTATCTTTATAATAAATAATTTTAATAAATTTAAAAGTCAAATTAGAAGAAGATAATTTTCAACCTCTGATATGAAATCAAAATTTTAATAAAAAGAAATATTTTACTTTTCTTTAAAAAAAAAAATTAATGTTAGATAAACAAAATATGCTAGTTTAAAAGTAGGTAGTCCAAAACCTTTAAAATGCAATACTAAGAAGTAAAGTAATATACTCACTTTTAAATTAAAACAAGAATAATAAATCACTACTCTTGTTGAATTGTCATAGACATAAATTACAATAAAATTCTAAAGAAAAAATACATTCTTATGACATTCAAATAAAAAATAGATAAATCAAAAATAGATATAAGATAGAAACATAGAAGTTAGAGATGCTTGAGCTAAGATAAGAATACAAGAAATGTGTTGATAAAAGTGAAGAGAGCCTCACTTTTATCTGAATATATACTATTCAACTAAAGAGTTATATGACAATGTTCTATAAGTCATTTGAAACATATCCAACTTGTAAAACATGTGTCCAACTTGTAAGATAAGTTTCCTATATGACCAACTTATACCTCAAGTGGCCAATATGTGCGACATGTGGCCAATCTGTTGGCCAAGTTTTCAACCTACTAATCACCTAGAAACACTAGTAAAGTCAAATTTGGATCTAAGAAGCTTCTTCACAAGATATTATCAAATTTACTTACTTTTATTTATACCTAATTCCTCTTATTCTCTGAATTAATCATATCAATGTTTATTTTTGTGACAATAGTTGATTAATGAATTTGAAATACTTTAATTATTTGCTACATGAAAACAATAATCATTAATAAGATATCAACCACATCCTGATACATAGAAAAACAATTGTGACTAAGTAGATAGTTTGATGAAACATCTTGTACAATTCTCTTATTAAAGTTGTCTTCCTGTATGGATGTCCTTGAATACATCTATTTACCAATACGTTATATAACTTGTTCAAGAAATGAATTATCACAACAATTAGAATACCCAGCAGTTAGAATGTAAGGGCAGTCTAATGAGGTCGCTGCTCCTCGGGCATTCCCCGAGATGAACGTCTGTGGAAGTCGTCTGGGGGGGGGGGGGGGATGGGGGAAGATCTGGGACAGGCAGGGTGGGGCCACAGCAGCGATACTGAAAGAAAGCATGAAAAAAGAGAGATGGGGATCTGGGCATGTTAGCGTGAAACCACAGCAGCCACCAGAAGCCAAGCACGGGCACCCACTCATGCAGCTCCCCCAGCTCCAATTCCATGGTCACTTAGTCCAGTTCATCTTGAAAGGATTGCTGGAGGGCATTGGTAAGAACGATATGAAGAAGTAGAAGAAGCAGCAGAGGACAAGGAAATGAAAAGAGCATGAGACTGGTATTGTGTTGCCTCACCGGGGTCATCACCACGGGACCACTAATCGGACGAAGCTGAGGAGGAGGAATGGAATTATTCATGACCGTCTTGTCTCCTTGAGTTGATCACTGTCGGCGTGTTTCGATCATGTCGAAAGATATGGGTGAGATGATATTGCTGGTTTCGTGGTTTCGGAGTTTGTTGGAAGGGCTGGTTTGGTTAAGCTCATGGTGACTTAGGTCTGTTGAATGGTGGTATATTGGAAGCAATACGCTAAGTTTCTAGATTGTGGGGCTATGTGGATTGTCGGAGTTTGGGAGTTTTTGAGTGATTGGGTTGGAAGGTGAGGAGTTGGTAGTTAGAGGGTTAGCTTGGGTTGAGGACTATGCATGGTGTTGCTGATAATGCAATAATCGGGTTCTAGGAATGGCGTTTCGGTGAGGAAGTCTTCGCTTGAGGGTTGAATGTGTGGGATTGTTGCTGAAGATTTGAGGCGGCTGATTTCAGCTGCGGTGTGCGAGTGGATGTCATTCTTTATCATGGGTGAGATCACTGCTGTTTCGTAGTGGAATTTAGTGGGTGAGGTGCGTCTGTGGCTCGTGGGAGTTGATTTGTGTGAGTGATCCGATTGTGTGATGGTGATGCAGTTGTGAAGCAGAAGCACAGCAGGAGCTCCCAACACTTCAGGGCAAAGGCGAATAACAGGGTGGATGACTTGCAATCCATGGTTTCAGGATTGCAGCAGGCCCGGCGAGAGGGTCGCCACAAGGATGTATCCTTGTTGGAGGAGCAAATGCATCAAATGTTGAGGGAATGGAAAGCAGAGCTACGAGAGGCCTCTCCTGCCTGTTCCTTGCTGGTAGGTATATCTCCAATGTCCTCTCTGTCCATAACTTGTAGTTTTCTGAGGCTAGGGATATTTTGTTGAAGGTTTTTCCTGGTCTGGTGCAATCTGTGTTGCAATCTAATGTTGAGGAATAGGTAATATGAAAGTAGCGGGTTGGTAATGAGAACTAACATTCCCAAGCCATGGGTATCCTGAGGCATGTTACTTCCAAAACGAGGTTATATTTTCACATTACTGAGTCATGCTCAAGGATATCAAAGGTAGGAAAAGAGCGTCAAAGGAGACAAGATTGTGAGATATGATCTTGCTCTCTACATCCAATGCACGGCTGCTATACCTCTACAGAACTTTGCTGGGGTTGTGTCAATCTTCTGACTTCTGGTAGTGAATCGTGAACCGTGTTTGTTTTATGTAGCAAATAGTAAGTCCATGCAATTCGGAGCTTTCCTCCCACATGGAGCGGCTATTACAGTTGCATGATGAGGACGACGACGCCACCAGCAAAGCACCCCCAACGCCAGAAGTGAATGATCAGCAACCATACAATGACTATCATCCTCTCATCTCCTCTTCTGCTCACCTGGTAACCGCAGGCCTTCAATCAGAGGTTTCTCTGACCTCAAATGATCTAATTTTTTTAATAATTTTTTCGTTTCGTTGCATCTTTTGAGTTGTGGATTGCCTGAACTTAGTGTACGCATCGCATTGTAGGAAGCTGAAATCATTGAGGCCTATTTAAGAATAGAGCAAACGCTTCAGGAGGATATTCAATCTACCTACCTAGTAGCAACAAGTTCGGGACTATACGACGACGCCTTGCAATGTTCACCCAGGCCGCAGCAAAACCCTAAGATCCATACCATGTTGGATCATTTTACTATGGCTGCGATGGTCTCTCCTGTGGCAGCTCACCTGCACCCAAAGTGCGCTCTGTGGGATTGCCCTAGACCTAGCCGAGGTAGCAATGAAGTTACTTATTATTGCAGTCGTTTCCACGAAGATCTGGCCCTTAATGAAGGTGCTCCAGGAATGTGCCCAGTTGTGAGACCGGGTGGGATAGACCTCAAAGATGGTCCTCTCTTTGCAGCTCTCGCAGCACGAGTTAATGGACATGCCGTTGGGATCCCTGAATTGCAAGGTGCAGCAACGTCGAAGTCTCCTTGGAATGCAACCGGTTAGTACACGAGTCCTCTTCAGCTTTAAGTCGAGCTCTTTGCTTCTCTAGGAACCATAGAATTCTTCAAAGCTGCTCTGGTTGTGAATCCCTCATGGAGGCGACGCCACAGCTCTTTAGATCCCAAGCCTTGACAGCATTTTCTGATCCTGCGTGCAGATCTTTTCGATGTTGCTGTGTATCCTAGTGAAACCTTACGAGAGTGGCTATTTTTTGACAAACCTCGGCGTGCTTTTGAAAGTGGGACACGGAAACAACGATCGCTTCCTGATTATGGAGGACGCGGCTGGCACGAGTCAAGGAAGCAGATCATGAAAGATTTGGGAGGATTAAAGCGCTCCTATTACATGGATCCTCAACCCGAGGGTCTCAACGAATGGCACATGTATGAATATGAACTGTCAGTTTGCACTGATTGTGCTCTTTACAGACTAGAGCTGAAGCAGGTGGACGTTTCGAGGAAGAGTAGCAAGACCAAAGCTCAAGTGCAGGCTGACTCTTCTGTGGCATCATTGCAGCACCAGATCGGACGTCTCTCTGCAGATTTGTCCCAGTTTCAGTGTCAGAATCATGTGCTTAGCAATTTAAGAGAATCACGTGACAACAACCGGGGAAGGGGCAAGGCTTCTCAAAAGAGAGGGATCATCAAGAGTCCTGGACCTGGACCGTTGGTTAGTGCTGTCCTGGCAGGCTCTTTCTCCGGGGAGCACACTCCATTTAATTACACCGCTGAGCTTCCATGATGCTGGTTGGTCATTGTGGAGCTTTCTCTGATTTTGTTTTTTATTTTTATTTTTTTAATGGTCCCGGTAGTAATACAAGAATCAATCAAAAGACACAGCAGGTTTTTCAAGGACACAAATCTTGGCTTCTTCGCAGGTTTTAGGAGGGGTTATCGTTGCTGAGCACCACACGCCATGGCATTAAACCTGCTGTAATAATTAGTTTTGCTTCACGGGACCAGACGAGGATATAAGCTTCTGCATCAATATCTAGTATGGAAAAATTCTGAGGGCTTCACTCTTCACGGGAGATGTTTAGAGTGGGTGTAGGGTTCAGCTTCACTAAGGAGACTAAAGCAGCGTTTACTTTCCTTGCTATACGCAATTTGCACATGAGAGTGGAGTTTCTTTCTTAGGCTTGTAGACGGGTCCATCTCGACACTATAATAGTCACTTTTCAGAGAACAAATTTCACAGCCCAACTGATAACCTTGGCTAGTAGCTTTAGAAACCTGGTATGAATATGAACTGAAGAAAGCTGTTTCATGAATTAGACTCTTCCCTTTCAACGTCACAAAAAATTCCTTCAAAGACTAGCTGTCTTATTGACTGTCTTCTGCATACTGCGGATGTGTTGCTCTTGCTTACTTTTTGAGAAGGTTACAAAGAATTGACCAGTTTGAAGGGGTCAGAACTCACCTCATGCTTCTTGTGGTACATACAATGTTATTCGTCTGTCTTGGCTAGTGAGAAAAAATGAACTGGGTTTTTCAAGTATGATAAATGAGAATGAAGTTGGTGTATAGAGGCTTGAGCTTTGTACGTGAGGAATGGGTTTGCACGTTTGAGGTTCTCTTTCGTATGACAATTCTGAGTCTGACTAATCTTTTGACAGATTCAGTGTTGACAGATTCATTGGTAACATGAACTGAGTGTATCCGATCCACTGCCTACACATTCTTTTGAAGACGAGGCTTGAGTGTTGTGTCTTGAGAGTTGACGGGTTCCCCAGCATAGATACCTGGTATTGAACCACAATGAACAATTTTCTGGCAGTTTCTGCTTTGGTAGCACAAAGGCGAAAGAGGTTGCAGAAGTATGAATCAGCAAAATATGGCACATTCGAAAATCTGGCAAGGATTTTTCTCAACGAAATTCAGCTTCAAGCGTACCATTGCGATGGAGACCCATGCTGAACCTCCGCATCTGATAATGCCTCTGGATAGGAGACTGCCTCTACCTGTTGCAAGGGCCTCTTGGGTGATTCTATACCGAGAGTTATGACGATGATCAACTTGACATATATCAGCACCCAAATACCATCAATTTCTTGAACTGCGACTTCCATACTGAACTTAGTCGCTGCAGAATTACTTACATAAGATTATAATCTCTTGAAATCTGTCGGTTTGAGCAAGTCAAGCTGCTCAAAGGATCTTCCGTAGACTTCAATACACGGACGAGTCGATCTCATGCAGGAAGCAGCTATACTTTACATTCAGTTCTTTGAAATCTTGCGACAGTCATCGTAAAATCCAGCTCATCTGCGCGTTCGCTCGCAAGCCTCCAATAATCGAGCCCAGTGATCTTCCTCCACTGCGCACTCTCGTGACTCAGCGCCATGCGTTGGGTTGGGATCACAAAGCTGTATGGGTGGTCACACTTACAATTAGAAACCATCCGTTTCCACGATTGCAAGACGGATTGTAAAAGCGAAAAGAACATTCGATCATAATTAGCTTATAAACAGGAAGAAAAGTTGAAGGCACGCATGATCACCTCTGAGCAGTTATCGTCCAGATTCCAGATGTTTGGAAGTCGTAGTAGAATTTCCCCGTTCAATTGAACCCCGACACCCCTAATTTAACCGCATTGTGGTGAAAATATCATGTGTCTAAGTCCGAGTTTATGTCACTGCATGAAGAATATGACGTACCGAGCTTAGCAATCTAACTTTCCATCAAGGACTTCCTCGTGACTGCGCTCATCTTTGGGAAGCGTACTGTTATGGAATGGGAGGGTCGATAATTTTGCAAAGACCGAAGTAGACCTCATGCCGCTTCTTTCTGCAGCTATGGCGACGCCTGCGTTGACGCCCTGTATGTGATTTACCGGTGTCAGGCATTAGATCAATTGCCTCTCTATCAAGCTTTATTCCCTGGGCTTTAGCAACCTGCATGCTCACAATTCAGGTGGATTAGACCCCCGTAAACTACCAAAGACATCGACATTGCACTGAAACTTGAAGCATCACATCTGGCAGTAAAAGAAAAATAAACAACCCAAGACTGCGATAAAGAAATCAGCAGGGCGATATCAATGTGAAGCGTTGCATGCCTGCAATGCTGCTCGTCTATCAAACGTCTCACTATTGAGCTGCAGCGCCTTTGAGCGCAAACGGAAGGCAGAGAAGAGCTCTGGGCACGACAGGTTCCCCGCTTGAAATTCACATGGTTTGGAGAACCCGTGGTCTGGAGGCCACGAGAATTTCGTGTTGCAGTCTCCTTTACCTTCTAAATCTGTTGACATTTCCTTGAGATAATACGACCAACGCCCGCCACTGGTATTGAGTGGTTTCCTACATTCAGAGCAGTCTCGAAGAGCAGTCCGATCCCAAAGTGTCTTCGACGTGGAGAGCTGGAGAACTGGCATAGCGATCAGATTTCTCGACATCGCCAATCGCGAGAATTTCCCACGTGGTTGCATACTGCGTTCTAGAGTGGGTTGGACTGTGTCGGAGCCTAAATTCCAGCTTGAGAAAAACTCACGGTTACACAAATCGCTCGAGCACTCGCTCTTATCCCACGACTTCGCTATACAGCCAGGGCACTTATGCTTCTTCCTCAACGGAGGCCATCTGCGCCTGCCGCAAAGAAAATCCTCAATGATCGGAGCGGGAATCCTCTTGGAAGCAATCACTTTGTCCAGCCAGTGCACAGTAGATCCAGGTTTCCGCACTCGTCTGGGATTCCAAACCAAGGGATCTTTACATTGTTTGGCTTCTTTACAAATAGGGCTTAAAAGTGGAGATTCATGGCGAAGGGGCTCGCAAATCGGGCAAGTTCCGTTGTCAGGAAACTTTGGTCTCTGGAGCTCTTTGTGATCCTTTTTCGAATAGCAATAATAACTATGCAATCTTGTGCAACATTCTTCGTGCAATTTGCAGGGAGGCGGTGTTGATTTGTGTGCATAAGTAATCACCTCGCGGTCTGCACTTTGTGATTTTCCCTTGTAGGTAATCTTCGTAAAATCTTTTGACTGATGGCGATTTGTAGACTCCCGAGAAGATGCTTCTAATTTTGAACAGCCACATTTTGGACACTTCTTCGAGTCCTGGCCCTTGGGACTCCGGGCTTTGGTAAACTCGAGATCATCGCCGCCATGGACAGGGCAATCACGGCATTCTCCATAGAGTGCGCAATCAGTCCCGTCTTGTTCTGCAAACTGAGATATCTGTGCGCATCTAATTACCTCGCGTTCTCGACTTCGTGATCTTCCCGTACGTAAAGTCTTGGCAGAATCTTTAGCTGGCTGAAGATGATCAGCAGACATCTGAGGAGTCACGCCTAATTGTGGACAGCCGCAGTTTGGACACTTCTTCGAGCTCCTAGGTGTGGATCTGAGAGTCTCAAGATCATCGCAGCCATGGACGGGGCAAGCACAACATCTTTCAAGAAGATGAACGACGGTTTGTTTAGAGGCATGCTGATGGCAGCAATATTTAACTTGCAGTGACTCTGTATGGGATCTCCCTGCTTCATGTCTTGGAGATTGGCTGGGGCTTTGAGGATATCTAGTTCTCAGATCTGCAATTAGATGGTCGTCGATTTGATGGACGTGACACTCTTCGTGGAGTTGCGTGCCATTCTCCACTGGAGATGTAATTGATGAAGGACGGCCGGTGACTTTGAGAGGCTGGTCATGATCTCCATAACAGATTTTCTTTTCTTTTTCCTTCATGGACAAATCGCCAGCAGGTGAGGAACTTGCTGCGGCCGCTATTCCTCCCGCTTGCCTCCTTACGCTGTGGTCACCGAGATGGTGAATACAGCTCCGCACGTGTATCTTCGGTGAAAGAGACTGGCTCAATGGGGCCAAATTGCAATTTGATCTGTCATCAATCGTCAACATACCATCAGCTCTCTTGCAAACGGACTCGTCCTCAGCTTGCACCTGATGACCTGGCTTGGAATTGTAAAGAGTTGCGAGGTCTTGCGGTAATGAGCCAGTCAATCTCCTGCAAACGGGCTCATTATTGGTTTTTGAGTCTTGATATGGGCTGAGAACGTGCGACGACCTCATTTCCGGTGGGGTTGGAGATTCTGAGGCGTGCTGACTGGCTGCATGCTGGTGAGCTTGCCTTCGTTTATGGTGTCCATAGTTGTGTAAGCTTCCCTCGATTTCCCTCTGTATTCGGTGTGCATGGGGCGAAATCGTTTCCTTTTTCACCTTGTGGCCAGCGAAAATCGCTTGGATTTCTTTCAACACGGAGCCGTAGCTACGCTTCATGCCACTCGATTCATCTGTTTCCTCGTCGGAGATGATAGATGTTTCACCATTATTGTCCAATTCTCTCATTTTCTCGCTTCGATTCTTTTGTCTCCGTTTCGCTTGTGAGTCTTGGCTTCTGCTTGCTCCTTCAGGCTTCTCAATTTCTATTTGGCTCTGAAGTAGTGACCGTTCCTTGTGATGTCTACTTTGATGCCTTTTCGGTATTGGTTTTAAAGGAAGTAATCCCCCACACACTTCACAAGGCGCTGCAATGTCCTTGTTCATGCTGCCAGGATCTGTCAACAGTTATTTGTATTGTTCGCTGGAACAATTTAATCCTGGTAAATTGAAGTCATCTTTATGAACTACTTCAATTTCAACCCTTCCAAAAACAAGTTTCTAACCGACTGGGTGTAGAAAATTTCTGAGGGCAAAAATTCTTAAAGAGTGATTCTGTTTGTTGAGCCTTTATCGACGGTGTAGCATTCTGCATCTTGAGAACTGCTCGATGAGTAACACCGTAAACTGACTTCGTGTCCAATTTCTGCGTAGGTATTTGACCTTCCTTTGTTCTCCACTGGTAAGCAGGTACATGACGTCTACAGCTGTCGTCGACAGTTACAATGTCTTCCAACCCTCACAAGCAAACGAGAACCAGAATAATGGCCGTCTTCACTTTACTCCTGAACTATGTGTGATGCTTGCTCCCTCTTAGTCTCCCTTGCGCATACATGTGTAGCATAAAATTTGGAACTGTAAGTCGCAGGGAGGTTAGGGCAAAACTATCGACCCTAACTGTTTAAAGGAAAATGCCAGAAGCCCTAGCTGGTGAGAGCCGCATCTCGGCTCGTGAACGCAAATAATGCCAGTAAAAGATGAAATTTGAAGGCGTAGCATATGATTGAGTCAGTGTGGAATGAACAGGACTCGGGTGTGTCCTTTTCAGCTTCATCGGGAAGAAATCCATTGGACTGCACCAAGAACTTGAGGGAAAAGCAAGTTCCTCACAGACACTCGGAGTTAAACTTCGAAGTGGCCTGCATACTCCTCAGTCGAATCTCCAAATTCTTAGATCTGATCTCAGGATGGGTCTATGGTGGATACAAACATCAGCAAAGCAAGAATGGCACGATCCATGCCCCCTGCATATGTTGCCGTGTCAATTCTACAAGCGAGACTTTTCAGTCACCATTTCTGTGTGCTGAAATTTCACACGAAAGAAAGACGACGCAGTGCAATACCGCCAAAAATTGATAAGAGCAACGAAAGCGCCACAAGGAGCATTGCAGAGCCAGTCTGCCAATCAACGCAAAACAAAAATAAAAAAACAACCCCGCTCTTCTTCATCTAATCGGCAGGACGCGAGGAAATTAAGGCGATCAGGAACTGCATGTCATGCATGAAGCGAAAGCCCTTGCTTAAACAATAATCTGCAAAACCTTCGAGGGCTTGCAACGTCGTAAGATCTGCACAGAAATAGAAAAAATTAAATTAAACCGAATAAAAGTAAATAGAACTGTCCAGGGAGGAAAAAGAAAATTACGAGTTCGGCACGCTGCAAGGCAAGTCCCTAACAGAGGCACGTACTCCATGTGCGGAAGAAGCTACGACAGTAAAAAAACAGAATGAGGAGAAACTCATGAATGCTCCAGAACGTGGTCGAATTGGCAAGCTCGGACTTCCTCCAAAGCAAACCTCACGAGGCATCAAATTCCAGCAACGTCTTTGGGCATAGTCGGATCGGGCGGACCCATACCCGCGCTGCTTTTGGCGGGCAAACCCCGCGCAGATGGACACATCACGTCCATATCAGCGTTGTCTGAAGGCGGGCTCATGCAGCACATCGGACAGCGACATCACGTCCACGTCAGCGAGATGCTGTGGCAGATCTGAAAACTGTTCTACGGACAGGATTGCGTTGACGAGTCACAGATCTACGGCTGTGAATTTTCGATTTATATTTTCGATTATTAAATATCTTTTTGAGATTCCATTTTTTTTCATGGGCACTTCTTCAAGAGTGGCTCAGAATATTAATGTGCTTAGAATTTAAGATTTGTTGTTTCTTTTAATTTTTAGGTTTTTTCAAATTAGTTACATATAACATTCTCCATGGTTTAATATTTATTATTTATTAATTACTAAATTGAATATTTCATTATTTGGTAAATGATTATTATTATCATTATTATTTAAAATTATTTTTATGTGAAATAAGCTATATTTTTATAAGATTAATTTATTAGTTTATTCAAGTACAGATTTGATATTCCTTGGACTTGAGTATAGAATCAAACTGTGATATTTCGGACTCAATGAATTGTGATATTTGCTTGCGTAATAAATCAAAAAAATTAACGTGAATTATTTTATACTATCTTGAGTTTCAATTTTCTTTTTGAAACTTAATTTTAAATAACCTAGTATGTTGGTATCATAATTTTAAGTATGAAATACTATACTAATGATGCACACATTAATGACCAAAAGATATAGATAGACACACACACATATATGTATAAATATATATTCATAACATTCAAGAACGTAGGTTAATAGGTTTGATAATGGAGTAGAAAACTGTCAAATCTATTTGATGCAGTTCTTCTATAATTAATATGTAAACTGTTACATAACAGATTTGATAGATGTTAGATTCATAGAATGACTTGGTATTTTATGTTATAATAAAATGATGAAGTTGATTATATATATATATATATATATATATATAATTAAAAATATATTCAATATCTATTTAATCGTCAAATGTACCATAAGATTACTTACATATCCTGAAAACTCTTACTAAATATTACACAACTATTGTCATGGATTGTTAACATCACAGTAGTAATTGACACTTTGATGTAGTTAATTGGTGGTCAAATAATGGTTGTTGCTATGTATAGATCGATCTTTTTCTCTAACAAAAATACAGACATAATAACTGGATCTTAATACCAGAGCTTGTTTATTTGTTTTTACGAAAATAATTATTAGAATTGTTGCACATATATGAATATGAGAACTTAAAATTTTAGGTTTATTTTTGTGATGTTTTATCAAATATCTAAATTTACATTTTTTTAAAAGTAGTATTAGCAAAAAAAATATTTTATAATATAAATGGTTTGTGGTTTTTGTGTGGCATCAAAGCTTAATGTTCTATAATTTGTTTAATGCTCTATAATTTATTATCACCAATAATTTGTTTAATTATAGAACAATAAATTATTAATATGTTCTATAATAATTTATTAATGTTCTATAATTTAAATTATAGAACAATAAATTAATAATTAAGCTTATACATTAAACAAATTATAGAACATTAAGCTTAATGTTCTATAATTTATTATTGTTTAATGTTCTATAATTTATTATCATTAAGCTTAATGTTCTATAATTTATTATTGTTTAATGTTCTATAATTTATTATCACCTTATAATTCTTAAACAGAAATAAATGCATGTGCAATTTAATACTTGGAAATAATACCTTCAAATATTAGTTTTCTAATGAAGACATTATGTGGAAGAAACATATGTACAGGTAGTTTTTTTCATGGACGAGTTTCTAAGAAAGATTTTTTTTTTGTGTGTTTGTTATATTAATAAAAACCATGGACACATTTATACAAACACACCCACAGAAGTGATTAAAAGCATTAATTCTATTTATCATGGAAACAAGTAAGCATTAATGTTAATTATAACTCTATGATTAGGAACAAGAATACTAAGTTCCTGAATTATAGTTGGTAAGCTAAGATCAAATTCAAAAGTAATTAATAATCTTTTAACACCCACCTTGTCAAATTAGCAAATTAATAATACGTATGAAGCAGATACTAAGCACTAGTCTGAAGTGCTGAAGCAATATCTACAAGGGAGCTGGTTCTTAGGAACATCCTGGGTCTCATCAGAAAATGTACAAAAAAGCAAGATGTTACCAAATAGTTTTATTTTCTCTAAAGCAAGCATAATGTAGTTGCAAATGTCATTAAATTCGTCCTTTACCTTAACGAGCATTGAGCTATCACACTCAACTATCATTCACAATTAGCCAATTAAACGACATATATTGAAGGTAGTATCACTAACAACTTGTCATTTGCCCCCTTGGAATTTATAATTCATGGCTTGAACTATTCATATCAATACAACATATTATGTTGCTTCTATCTTAAATCATTTGGTGCAAAAATTATGGGTTCCTTTACATCAGTTTTGAATCATGTATCATCTGAATTAAATGCATCTTCCAAAGAGGAACTTCTTGATGTTTTATGCGTTCCATTGCTTTCTGTTTTGAATTGGGTGTTACTGTATGCTAGTATTGAATTTATAGCTTGTAATATCAAGATCAAAGGAATATTATTTCGGAAACCCAATTTTATTGCAACATAAATACATGCTCAATATCCAAAGAATAAACTGTTGTTTGACCTTGTAAACGTCATCCTTGCTGCTATCATATCTGTGTTAGATTAGCACAAGTTTGAGATTGTATTTTCTTGTTGGACAATGGCTTCTTCAGTATCACAATCACCATCTGAAATTCAAAGTATGTAGAGGCAATGTCATAGAGACAGTTGAATTGGAAACATGCTAATTAAAACTAGTTTATGATTGAGTGAACTTGTTGATTCTCTGCTCTAACTTCTTTTGTCTCTTTTCTCAATATAATTTGTACTTACATCTTCTGTGCCACAGAAACAAGTAAAAACTACAACGATATATTCTGTGTTTCTTATGTATGTGTGTTTATGGAGAGATGGATGTGAGACTCGTGTTTCAGTTAATGTGGATTTTGAGTTTTCACTGATGGTAATAGAATCATCGACATTATCAGTGATTTACAGGATTTTGGGGATAATCAGATGGTGATACTCAGGGAATATCCCATCAAATGTACTCCTTTCATAGAAGACCGAGTTCACCACTGCGGTTGTACATACGCCGCAATCAACGGGAGACAGGAATATAAACTTTACACTGCATGCCAGGAAAACAGTAAACACAGCAGCCGAAATTTCCTTGGTACAAACCACCGGCCAAAACCTACAAACGACAACTGCATGGCAACGATAAAAGACAGATGATTCTACCAACAGAAAGTAGCAAGTTCCGAGTCTCATTACGGACCAGATAAAATGTCGGACATCAGAACCAATCAACAAGCCGCAATCAAAGGGAAATCAATTTAGGGGTACCATTAAGAAACATACAGGTGCATTACTTTCCACACACGTGGTAGGAACAGGGCCAAACATCAAATTTCCAGTGGCAACTCCAAGTAGAGTCCAGGATTCCTAAACTTGCACCAAATGGCACGTAAACAGAAGGTGCATAAGATAAGAACTACGTGGACGCCTAAGATGTTTTCCCTTTTAAACTGTCAAGCGTGACTTCTGCATATCCACTTATGAACTGCAATTAACGCCGACTCCTCAAAAAAGAACTACAAAAAATTACAGAAGCGTGCTTGGGTTAGCGTATTTCATTTAGTGCGCTACACTTCACTTCGATTTAAAAACACCAACGACGAGAGATATTCCCAAAGGGATAATTTGGTGTTACAAGTAGGAAAAACAAGGATTTTACCATGACATCAGCTCAGTTGACCTGAGCCATCAAGTTATATTCGCTGGGGCATACTAAAAAAAAACACCCGGTTCTACCTGAACTACCGCCTTAAAAGATATTGGGCAAAGAAAGACTGTAGTAGGTATTCGAAATCCGAAAGTTCCTGTGACGATCTTAACCGCATCTGGCCAAATCACCATTATCCTTGGCATGCGCATGAGAATCTCCACCTCCGTCACCCATCGGCTGGGGGTTCTCGAGGATCCACAAATTTCAGAAGACCCCACGTTCCAGGACCTTCGACAACCACGACAATCATCTTCAAATAAATTCCTGTGCATTGTACACTACAGCTTCAACACCGTTGTTGAAGACGACAGGCGGGGACGTAGTGGCCTTCGTCGTTAAGTATTCCAATTCGCGTCCTAGGTATCATCGAGATTTGGTGCAATAAAACTATCCACAGAAAGAGCGAAAAACACATGGGTATTCCACTCTATCTAACTACAACACCATTTTACCTCCTATTATCCAATCTAATTTCGAATGAAAAATATTTCTTACTTATAGCTACCACCCTACATTGCGCACACAAACTCCCCACTGCTACCCACATCGGGATCCGCATCGGGATCTACGTCGTTTTCCAAGTCCATGTCATCTACGCTATCACCGAAGTAATCCCCTGTAGCACCTGTTCCTAGCACCCTGGCTTCACTTATAATTCGCATGATTTCCTCGATGCTCTGTGGAGGATGGTTGGGATCCTCAAAGTCGTAACTCCTGTCGGCAAGATCCACGAGATCTGCTGGTAAATTCTTCAAAAACCATTCATGGTTTTTAATTTCCTGAATGTTGATTCTCTGCAACCGCAAACCCATAACATGAACATTAATCATTTTGCTTCCTACATGACTTAAGCCTCAAATGGTGCCTCGAAAAAACGTAAAAATGGCCCACGCAACCACTATATGTGCAAAAGGAAGGCTCCACATTCACAATTCAACTCAATGACAGATCGTACCTTAGCAGGGTTAGCAACAAATATCCTGGAAAGTAAGTGCCTGCATTCCACTGAAATGTGCACATAGTCGGGGATGGAGTACTGCACGCTCAAGATACGCTGCAAACCAAGCCAGTCACAGCTTAGGCATTCCGTGAAGGTTTATCGAATTCGACGAATGCGCAGACGACATCACGCTGCACAAAAACTTAAACCCAAAAGAGGTGATCTTACCCCAATGGTTTTCCTGAAATTCCTTGGGTCTTCAGGATCCTCGAAAGGATATGCTCCAACCAACATCACGTACAAGGTAACACCGCAAGACCACACATCTGCAATCTGTATATCACGGCAAATCAGCCTCTTTAGCTGACAAAGAGCCGTGCACTTGTAACCTCACCGACACCAAAAATAGCTTCAGTTCCGCATGATAATAGCATTGTCCAAGAACCAATTTATTCCACTAAAACCAACACGCTTCCGAAAAACTTACCTTGCCATCATACTCTTTCTTCGACAGAACCTCTGGGGCAATGTAGGCAGGGGTTCCCACGGTCGACTTGGGTTGCGAGTGCAACAAGGAGGACTGCAATCGAAACGAAGAGTCAAAAATTGTAGAACAACACATCATTGATTCGAGCGTGTAATAATACCAATCCATCGAGCTATCTCAACCCAACTGAGACATCGTCCATGAGACATCGTCCAGTTTTAAGTGTAAAGTCTAGAAATCATTCCCAACTACCAAAGGAATCATTAAAACTCACCTTCGAATATCCAAAATCACATATTTTCAGCCTAGGAGCTGGGCTTCCATCAAGCAACGTGTTCTCTAACTTCAGATCTCGGTGGCAGATTTGCTGGAAAATTCACATGCAGATGCATAATCAGAGTGAGGAAAAGAACAAACCGAAAGAAAATACCCGATAACTCAAATCATAAAATAAGATTGCGATACTTAAAGGGTCAGGAAATCACCATGGAATGACAGTAGCTCACTCCCGAGATTAGCTGCTGGAAGAAGAATCTAGCCTGCAACACAACATATCATATCTCTGTAAGAAAAACATTTGATCAATCTTCACAAACTACGCATTGACACAAACAATCAAATAAAAACAAAAACAAAAAATAAAAACAAAACAAAAATAAAACAGACCTCATCTTCACTGAAGCGGCCTGCGTTACAGATTCGCTCAAAAAGTTCTCCACCAGCAGCATATTCCATAACAATAGCCAAATGGGTTGGAGTCAGCATGACCTGAAATGAAACAAGTACGAGTTTCAATGCTACAAAATGTACAATAAGACAATCATGTTAGTCCAGTAGGTACATCATTGTGCGACCGGCCACAAATCTTGAGACCCTTGGAATAATAAGAAATATGTGTAGGTTTCTCACCTCCTTAAATCGCACTATATTGGGATGGCGTAACGACCGGTGGTTGATAATTTCCCGCTGGACATTTTCGTCAATCTGCAAATACTCACACCAATCCTCATCAGTCACTACTCGCAAGTCAAAATTTTCTCTCACGTCACCACCAACACAGGAAATGTTACGATTAGGTCTCACTATCACGTAACTGCACCAAACTCGGCCACTCCAACCTATCCATTTCCCTGACACCGTCGTCGCATCACCGCAACCGGAAACACACACGAACAACTGAATGAACACTTGCAGTACTTCAGTCCCCAAATCACGTTAAACCGAACCGACGCACCTTCTCCCCGCGTTCGATATACTTGACAGCAACGAGCTCCCTGGTCTTCTTATCGCGCATGAGCCTGGCGACCCCGAAATTCCCCGACCCAATGTCTTTCACCAGCTCATACCGGTCGTGGTCATGCATGCTCGGAATATCCATCGCGTCCGTCTCTCTCTCTCTCTCACGCTCTCAATCCTCTACCCTTTTCTCCACAAACGCAAACCTCAACCCAACTAACTCAAAACCAACCCAAAAAAACCAAGCCCAACAAACCCATGCGCGCTCTCCACAGCTACCGAAACGCGAAATTACTCAAATCCTCACAATCTCTCGCAACCCACGAGCACGCTACACACTGGCAACGATCCGGAGGCTACCTGGAGGCAGCGTTATACCCAGAGGGACGAGGACGACGACGAGACAAGGAAAGGCAATAGATTGAGCGTAGCCCTCCGTGGTGGTGGGGCGACAGTAGGGACGATGGGGCGGCTACAAGACAAGTACTTAGAAACAAGTAAGGCGAGGGCCTTGGCTCCCTCCCTCGCGCGGGAGCGGGCTAGGTCCTGGAGTAGGGATCGCGCTGGACTGTGCCGCTCCAGACGAATTCCAGGCCGGGCGCCGGGGCCTTTCCTCAGGCCACGTGCAGGGCGCGCAGCGGTGGAGTTCCCCCACCGCATCGGAGAGTTGCTTCGGTTCCAGCCTCGTGCCGAGCCTCGGCACTTCGACTCGTGGCACACTCGCCGGTTTCGTCGGGGATGTAAGATGCTTCCCTTGGCGTGCGCGTGGCGGTCTCGCCTTGGCCCGTTTCTCCAGCTCCTGGGATCGAATCCTAGTCGCTACATCCATTCGGGAACATCACTTGTCCCTTTTCACACTGGCTCCTTTGCACTTCGTGCCCCTACCTTCGGGTACGCGTTCCCAGGATTTTCCCTTTCTGTCGTTCCCCTGCTCTCCTATAGTTTGGGCTATCACTACAGATTGTTATTTCTGTTGTATTTAATATAATATTCCAAAACAATTATTAGAATGATGTAGTCGCGATTTATTATTATTTTTAATTTGAATTTCCAGTGAGGAATATTAAGTACCCTGCATGGTCAATGATGACTTAGGTTGTGAACCACCTTGACTGCATTATATTGTGTGTGGATGAACAGTTGTGTGACTGAAAGCTATGGTTTAATTATCTACTTTATGTAAAAATAAAATTGGTGTCTATACTCGAAATTCTCCGATTGGTTGAACTCCAACTACTACATGATTGAATGAATTTTTGGAAATAATCTTATCTATGATTTTTTAGGAATATTTGCCAATCAATATGTGACTTGTTTTTAAATTATTTTATTATGTAATATGTGCTAAATTTTGATATAAATGTATAGATAAAGATGAAAGATGTATATGTTTATTTTATTTCAAAATGTATATATATATATATATATATATATATATATAATTCACCATTAGATGTAAAAATCTGTAATTCAATATTCAAATAAGTAATAAACTTATCTATCTATCTATCTATCTATCTATCTATATATATATATATATATATATTTAAAAAGTTAATATATTCTATTATAACTTAAATATAAAATAATGATAAAAAACCAATGTATAATATAAATTACACAGCACATTTTTATCTGATAATATTCTTATACTCTCATATTTTGATGTGCAATTCTTATGTGCTTCTCTTAATATGCACTTCAGTATGGTTTCTCTTGTCTTGTTCTTCTTCGTATTGATATATTTGTTTTGATTGTTCTATCTGTGATAAAAAAAAATAATAATAAATAGGATAAATAGAACTAGTTGCATTTTGAAGTTGTATACAAAGAGTGTCGACTTGAGATTCTTCATAATATAGTACCAAGTTGTACTATTATATTTCTAGTATATAAATCTTATTCATATTTTTATTATTAAATTTGGTTTTTTAATAATTATTTTAAAATATAGATCAGTTATATTATCCTTAAATATATAAACATATAACTCATAATTATTTACTTCTTATTATAATATTATTAATAAGCTATATAATATAATGTGTTTAAGATGTTTGAGTACAAGTTTGTATTAACATCACGGTTATAGTACTTAGACAAACTACAAAAATGCAAACTACCAAATCTCTTTGATAGAGTTAATGTACTTAATTTCATTAGCAATAATAGATTAAAATTAAAATATTGTGAGTTGATGCTATTTTCTTTTTCTTTTTCTTTTTCAAATCAATACAACAACTAAGTTAGGGGAATCAGGAATGAAAATTTTAAATTCTAGATGTCTAACCTAATAAACATTAATTTTAATGATAGTAAATTAGGTTGAATGAGTTTAAAGTTTACTTCTTTATTACAATCATTAACTTGTTTTGATTAATTTTAAATTAATTTACATAATTTGTTTAGTAAAATAAAATCAATTTAATTTTTATAGTTAATTATAATTTTATAAGTTATTTAGTTTCAATTAATGCACTTAAATTTACATAAAATAGAAAATCCAATTTAATTTTTACTCACTTGTGTAGTATACATTCTTTTAGTAGTTTTAAATTTTATATCAGAGTTTGTAAAATGAAACTACTGCAATAATTTATTCTTGTTCAAAATATTTTTCTTATATGTTATGATTGTAAATGACATTAATTATTATAATAATGTCATTAAAGTTTTGATTTCTTTAAAGTCAATTAAACCACATTTATTGTATGAAAAGTTTTCCAAGGCCCGTTTTACACCGTCTGATGTCTACTAAAATAATAAATAAGGAATGAAATAAAAGATAAATGGATCCAAATGGTGATCTCCAAAGCAAAACCAGAAAGTGATGAGACAAAGTTAGAATCATCTTTACTAAGCCATTAAAATTTGTATTTCAGTTTTTGAATAAGATCTGTTTATTGCAAGTAAAAAGAAGAGATACCCTAAGGAATAAACCATGAAATAAACTTCTAGACATCTCTAAAAGGAACATGTTGCTAGTACTTTCTCTAGAGAATTTTCTCATCTACAAAAAGAAGAAAAAGGTTAGAACAAAAAAAATATCACAAAACATATAAATCTATTATGACTAGTGGTTAAGGCACATGCTAAAAGTACAAAGTCTTTGTGGCCACCACATGTGTCACATTGTTTCCAAGTCTTGACTTTTCCACCTTTATATCTAAAATCTTAAATCTAAGTAGCCACATGTGTGAGAATCAATAACACCACTTCTACATGTGTGAATCCTTTAAAGTTACTTTATGCAATCTATTCTTCTCTTCTAGTTCTCACTTGTATTTCATCACCATCATCATCCTCTTATTTCTAGGGCAATAGTGGCAAAAGGGATGCAATGTTGATTTGGGGATGATAAACCTTTCTTTTGGAGAATAGTGGGAAAAATTATTTTGTTATCTTTCATTTCTGATGTAAGTTCCTTGGAGACAAAATTAGGGTGTCTTCTTGGGTGAAAGGAAAAATATATAAGTAAATAAATAAAAGATAAAAGAAAGTTGGAAACCAATAATGTTGATGATGAAAGTCAATGTAGTTGGGCTTCTTCAATCACCATCTGATATTCTTTAAAACACTGCAAGAGATGTATTGAAGAAATTATTATGATTTTAATTCAATTACTTTTTTGAAAGGAAATGTGTGTTGTATGCATTCTGGGTAGGAAATGAACCAATGTTTTGTTCTTTCTGAATTCTTTTGAGAAGCGGCAGGAAAGAGAAACCAATCAATTAAGAGCGCATTGACATTTCATTGGAGAAAATACACTTTGAAGTTCACAGATTATTTTCATTAAAAGATAGAAAGATGGATGAGGAGTGAACATAATGAAACAAAGTCAGCTGAATGTACTTTTTTCCAAAAATATCAATCTCAACCATTGAGTTGTGTGATAGGAGATATGAAGTTGAATGAGAAATAATGATGTGAAATCTATTCATAGCAAGAATAATTTTTTTTAATTTTTAATTTTTTTTATTATAGTTTTTCTAGCCTAATACAAAGGAACAGTATTCTCCTAGAAAGTGATCACAAGAATCACATGTAGGAATATTGTGTTCATTGTTGAGAGCCAACAATCACAAACTTATGCTATCAGTCTAGCAAAAGTTCTTCTGGGTTTTGCCATGTCTTTGGGAGACTTTTGCAAATCCTAAAACAAAGATGGTGGACAATGTCCCTAGATTTCAAAGAGAAATGGTTTGGATTCTATAACAGTGCAAAAGAAACTTTTTATAAATACTTCAATCTTTCAATTCTTGTGAATTTGGATTCTATAACAGTATATTTGGATTCTATAACTTAATGTTTTGGAGAGGTTTCTACTTTCTTGACCCTCTTATTTGTTTTGGGATCAGGCATGAGACTTAAAACTGGAAGGTGTAACAAAGAAAAAGTAACTTCGGGTATGAATTGAAATCTTGGCAACTTTGGGTTATGGTTCTAATAAAAGCCAACACTATCTGTAAATAATAGCTGTCCAACTACATTGTTAGTATCCAAAAATGTACACTAATTTGATATTGTGAAATATAAAATAAAATAAAAAATCCTTCAAAATATAGAGTTTTTATTTATTTATTTATTATTTATAATCAAACTTAATTTAACCATCAAAAAACTTAGTAGAGTTTTGTTAACTTAAAAAATAAGAATATTTGTGGATATACTTAAATAATTCATTTTAAGAATATTGAGGTGTATATATATATATATATATAAAGAAATAAACTATATATAAAAAAAACTCTAAAGTACCAATATACTCTTTTTGCTTTTTAAAAGAGAAAGTACACAAAGAAAAGGTAGTCATGAAATAAAAAATAAAAAATTTATTATCAAATACAAAGATACTATTGATTCTTAAGCTAAAACAAGAATAAAAGAAAGGCATTGAAAATAATAAAAAAACCTTATTCTTACCTCTATATACTATCTAAATATAAAGCTCTATGACAAAATTTTATAGGATATTTGAGACATGTCTAATTTATGGGTCACATATCTAACTTACAATGCAAGTTTCTTATAAGAATACCACATGACCAACTTGTACCACAAGTACTAATTATTAAAGACAAGAACTTGATAAAAATAAATAAATAAGTGAGACTTTTTTCAATGAAAGATGAAAAAATAGAAATGACTAAATATGTATATTAAGAAAGAAATTGGAATGGCTATTGCTAAAAGATAAGAAAATTAGAGATTCTTGAAACTAGACTAGAAGCAAGAAAGGAGTTGACAAGAGTGAAGAAGGCTTCACTCTTGCCTCTATATATACTATCTACCTAAGAGCTACATGGCAACATTCTATAGGACCTCCAAAAATATGTTGACTTTGTACAATACGTATCTTAACTTGCAAGGTAAGTTTTTTATGTGGGTGCCACATAATTAATTTTTTCCACAAGCTACCAACATGTATGGCACGAGGTTAACTTGTTGACCAAATTTCTAAGGTACTAATCAAGTAAAAA